TGTCCATAAAGTCTCCATCTTTGAAACGTTTTGAGAATTAGAACATCTTCTGGAAAAGGGGATTCTAGATCCATAGAGTTTTGAACCATATGGCTAAGCATTTAAGCTTTCCAACCTTTGTTAAGGGCTTTAGAGCATTCGGAGTGGTTCTAGAGGATAAAGTTGGAAACTTTATCCTTCTAGACACCTTTAGATTTCAGATCTAAGCCTTAAAGTCCCTGTAATCAACGTATCATCCAAATGTGCAAATAGGGAGAAAACTCGACGAGTTGCTCTGGCAACTCGATGAGTTGGATCGGGTTTCCCTGTCTACTGGATATTGAGTGAACCTGATGAGTTGATGAGACAACTCAGCGAGTTGGCTATGGTTTGTCACGGTTTTATGGACTCTGAAGGAACTCGACAAGTTGCTAGATGCACTCGACGAGTTGGGGTCAACATGGACTGTTGACCTTGACTGTTGACTTGGAATTTGACTAGGGTTGACCAAGTTTGACCTTAAGGGTATTTCTGGTATTTTAGGATTTTGACAAGTAATCACATGATGATTGTGGACATTTGAGTTGGAGCTACAAGTTGGGACTTATCTTATCAGCTCAGCTTTTCTTGAGAGGCGAGTCTCCTCACCATACCAATGGGTCGAAGGCACCAAGGCTGGACCATTTCATGATATGTGGTATACTAGTTGATATAGTATTATGTGGCATGATTGTTGATTATACGCTAGGAGGTATGATAGTTGTATATGTAGTACACTTGTATGAAATACCATGGGGGAGCCCATGGCACTTGGAAGTAAGACCATGTGGAGAGCCCATGACTTTCCTATTAAAGACCATGTAGGGAGCCCATGGCACCTGGATGTAAGACCATGCGGGGAGCCCATGGCTTTCCTATTAAAGACCATGGGGGATCCCATGTCACTTAGGTGTAAGACCATGTGGGGAGCCCATGGCATCCTAGAGTAAGATCTTGGGGGAGCCCACAGCATCCCAATATGTTGTATGCATGGCTTATGTGGTTTACGTAGCATTTGTAGCTAATATGGATTATGTGATTATATATATTATGTAGGGTATGCTCTGGGGAACTCACTAAGCATTAGCTTACAGTTTGTTGATTTGTTTCAGGTACATCTGAGCCTAAGGGCAAAGGCAAGGCTTGATGGTGCGACATGCACTCTTCGACATTTGATTGAATGGGACACTCTGATGTTTGAAATAAAATGCTAATGTTATGAATTTTGAAAACAATAGTCATTGTTACTTCATATTTTATGGGAATTTTTGGTTAACTAAAAATTAAAAAATATATTTGAAAATTTGGATTGTTACACCAATTTCTGGCAGTTAGCCTTTTTATGGCCATTCTGATTGCAATGGAAGCAAATCAGGTCTGATGTCTGAAGGGTGGGGGTATGGGTAGTACTATCCCTGCCAAAGTGCCTTAGCTTGTTGCACTTATAGCAGCTCGATCCCCCTAACGTGCAAACTCCCTCATGCATCTTGCTGCATTTCCCGGTCTCCGCCTTCCTCTTCCTAATGTGCTCTATATCAATCTCCCTCTCCCTCGCCCTCGCTATCATGTCATCCAAAGTCGGGCATGCCAAGTAGCTAACATATTTCCGTATGTCAGCTCTCAACATATCATGGTATCGGGTTTTCTTCATCTCATCATCACCCGCGTACTGAGGCACCAGTAAGGCCCTCTCCCTGAACTTGGCGGTAATCTCCGCCACTAACTCAGTAGTCTGTCTCATATCCAAGAACTCTTTGGCTAGCTGTTGAATCTCCACAACTGGCACAAACTCGGCTCGGAATCTGGTCACAAAGTTCGACTAGATCATAGCCTTAATGATTGGAGCTCCCAAAGTATCATTGACTGCCTCCCACCAGTCTCTAACCCGCTCTCTCAAACAACCAACTACAAACCTGGGCTTCGACTCCTTTGGGCAGAAGCATGTATAGGAGGTACATAAGGCATCTTCCTAGATCCTTAGCCCTAATCTAGCATGCAGTTCTCATACACATACAATAGGCATATAAGGCATCCTTCCTAGATCCTTAGCCCTAATCTAGCATGCAGTTCTCATAATCATATCATATATCATAACAAACATGTATAGGTATCTTGGGGAAAACTTACTTGAGCTCGACTGTTCTTTCTCAAAACTCTTCATCATATATCTTATAAAAATTATTTTTATTGTAAAAATTTCTCAAACCCTCAATTTGAGTCCAGACACCCCCCGAAGGTGTGTCCGAATCCCTCAAACCAAGGCTCTGATACTAACTTGTTGTTGGGCTTTGAGCATTCTAACACTCCTAAGTGTACATGAAACCCTAAATACCTTGGATCTATGTTTTCTCTATTATACATGAAAATATGAACTTTCCAAGGTATTCATCCTAACTAGCATAATAAAATTGTATATAACAAGATAGAATACATACCTCTTTGATGTAGAAAGTCTTCAAGAAGCTTGAGTGCCTAGTGCCTCAAGTGTGAAACCTCAAATGGTTCACACAACACCAAATACACTTGGAATAACTTGAGAGAAATCCACAGCTCATGAAATCGGCTAGCCCTTCTTTTACACACTAGTGCTGATTTTGTCAACAATAAGATGCTTATATAGTTAGTGACAATTAGGGTAAACCCTAATTGTCATGGCTTTCCATTTCCTTGGTTCCATGGGTTCAAATACACCATGGAGCATCTTATGGGTTTTAGCCCAACTTAACAATCCATGAAGCATTAGCCCACTATACAAGTATGGATGATTTACACAATCAACCCATATATTTAATTAGTCTTCTTTTGATCACTTAATTAATTCTATATTAATTCTTGATCAATACTAATTAAATAATCCTATTAATATATATTAGAACTTATAATATATTAGTCAACCTTAAGTGTTATTTCTCTCATTATAGTCTATCCAATTGCATGATGCCATGCAACCCAAATGGACCATGTTGGGTCGGATCAAATCTTACCATTTATAATTATGGACTTAGACATTAATCCAACACTTGTAACATCCTAAAATTTAAGACAAAAAAAATTCCTTTTTAATATAACATAATTATAAAACCATTTGTATAAAAACATCCAAAATATCAACTCATATCAAAACCCGTGTATCAATTGTCAAAACATGTCATGATAAAACAACATCATAGTATAAATCCCAAAGATCTCTTGTACGGAAAATATAGTGTGATGTGTTGTGGTCATGTCGGGTCCTTTCCCTTCGAAGAGTATAAACACATATCAGAGTATAAATCCCACATATCAACTTAGCACATAAACACATAAGTCACATACTACCTAGCACATTTGGGTGCTGGCCTACCCCTTCGGTCCTTACGACAGGTAACGGGGTATATCCTACCCCTCCTACCACTATCATATAATATCATAGCATACTAGCACATAAAGCATAACAAATAGTGGTATACCAGGCAATTATCGTAAAGAAAATCATCTCAACTATAATCAACTACTAGTGGACCGACATTGGTGCCTTCGACCCACTTCTACTGGAAGGTAACTCACCTCGTAAGGCTGAATGCAGAATCTCACGGTAAGGAATCTCTAACAACTACTCCAACGACTCCTCGGCTATCATAATAACACTTAGTCAAAATCCAATAATCCTTCTTAGGGTAAAATGACCATTTTACCCCTTGGTCTAATTTAGACCATATCCTAGGCCCAGTTCCATCCAATATTTCCAAGCCCACTAATGGCCTAATTTTCTAAATTGGGCCTTCCCCTAAGCCCAAACATGTCCTTAGCCTAATAACTTACTCTTGATGGCCTACTGAGGCCCAGAAGCTAATAAGTACAAGGATTGGCCCAAACCGAGGCCCAAATGACATGAAGCCCAAATCAGTAAGTACGTAGGGCATACTCCTCTATACGCTAAGTGTACAGGCTACATGGCTTGTATGTTGCGCGTACTAGCTTGTACGCCCAATGTACTACCCTGTTAAACCATAATCCTCAAAAGTGTTTAATCCTTTAAAACCTTAAGCCTAAAATACATATCTGAGTCCCTTAACACATTGTAACTCATAAAATCGGTTACTTGGTGGCTTGCAACCCACCAAATGGATCCAAACTTGGAATATAGCAACTAACTTCCATGCAAATGACTAGAACTCATGCATGGTCACAAAAGGACCTTAAATATTGAAACTTTAAAGTTATTGGGACACATTTAGCACTAAGGTTGGCAGACCTAAGCCTTGAAACGTATTGGACTCATTAAATTCCATTATTGGGACCTAAAAAGGTCCAAAACTCCATTAACATAAATTTAAGCATTCATGAGATAAGTTGAAGGCTTTTTACCTCAAATAAGTGTCAAAAGGTGATGTTATCTCGGATCCTTGAGCTCAAGCTACTCAAGATCTTATTCTTCAACTTATTCATTCTTCTTCCATGCTTCTAAAACCCACAATGAACTTAACACGGCCAAAAACACACAAGAGTGAGGCATAAGAGGCTATCTAGGGTGTATGAGGTTGAGAAGTTGATAAGGAGGCTAGGGTTTGAGTCATAATGTTGTATTTATATGGCTTAAACCCTAAAAATTAAGGTTTTGAGTCTGCTTGCGTACGCTGCGCGTACACCTTGGTATGTTGCGCGTATTATTTCAACCATTTATATTATACATGGATACCTTTTGTAACTTTTATTACATGTGGATCATTTCTAATTTTGTTATCATGTAATTTTGCTATTACATATGTATTATTTCAACCATTTATTATTTCAGTAACTTTTTTTCAAATGCACAGTGTCAGTAATATTTTCTAGACATAGAACATTTTCTAAATTTTTACACAAGGATTATTTCTGTAATTTTATCTATTACTATAAGGATATTTTTGTAATTTCTCTACACAATATATAATTTACTACGAGATAACATTTCTATAACTATTTCTTAACAGGGGGCATATCTGTAAGTTTTTACTTTTTCGGGGACATCTTCTATTATTTCCCGACAAATGTAAGGATAGTAGAATGACATGACTTCACTCGAGAAACTCGAATGAACTTCATGGAGTAAACTGAGTCTGTTGAGACGTTGTGGATGTTCTTCATCGTTTCGAGCAGGCGAGCAAGTAATTACCTACTCAAACTTTTCGTTATCCATCAATTCCACACTCAATTTAGTTTGGTGTATGTTTTTTGTATCAAATGTTGCTGTAATTTTACTCAATTTGATCGATTCATGACCTCTGTTTCATGAAATTTATGTTCCCTATTCGTGTTTCTGAAGTTACTGTGCTTGATCTCTTTCCGATTGTAGATTTGTAAACCACATAAATCCTATAGGTAAGACTGTTCCATCTTTTCAATGAAACACGAAGACGTTGTTAATTTTTGATTTTGAGTTTCTCCCTTTCTTGTTTGTAGCATTTTGTTGCAATAAACAAACAGAGAATTGCCAGAAAACAACATGCTTCCTTCAGCAACCATGAACATCCTTAAAGTTCATGGTTGTTATCGTCTTCAACCCCCAATTTCTCATCTTTCCCAGAATATCCATCCCACCTCCCTTACAACACACCATACATCCAAACTCCGTCATGTCTCATCACCTTCAATCCATTCTCCTAATCCCCAATTTCGTATCTCTAGAACCAATTCAAGGCTCAGAAATGTTAGGGTTTCAGAAATCGGAGCTCCATTATGGACACAAAAAGACGACAAACAAGATAACTCCTGTTCTCCTGAAGACTTGACCATGAATGGAGAAGCTTATCAGAAGACTTTAAGGTTGGTAGAATGTTCTATGTTCGCTGCTCTTGGTGGATTAGCCTACATCTTAAGCAGCTCCCTTGCTATCGAGGTACTTTTTTGACTCTGCATTATGTCGAACACTTGGTGGGCGTTATTGAAAACTAACAATTTCAATATTTACAGAATTACTTTGGTTGTTTCTTTGCCTTACCCATAGTCTTCTCATCAATGCGATGGGATATTGTTGCTGGAAGAAAGACTATGGTATCCATTATCTAACCAAAACCAATCATTATTACCATATTCCTGAAAATAACATCTTTGATGTGTTCCATTTTGCATATCATCTTTTTGTAGGTGGCAACTGCTACACTATTGCTTGTTTTAGCTGGACCCATAAAAGCACTAACATATCTGGTTAGAAAATATTTTCATATCTTTATAGCATTTAAGTATTTAACTCTATATATATATATATATATATATATAATAATATATATATATATATATATATATATATATATATATATATATATATATATATATATATATATATATATATATATATATATGGTTTACATTTTGGCTTATTTCTATCATTTCAGTTGATGCATGGGTTTCTTGGTCTTGCTATGGGATCTTTATGGAGGTATCCAATTGTTTATTCCTTATTGCAATCTTTTCAATTATGAGTTATGAAAAAAACAAGAATCTTCTTCAATCTTTACTTCTTAGGTCAAAAGCAAATTGGGGTGTTTCTATATTCACAAGTGCAATTGTAAGAATGTCTATCTTTCTTCTCTTTCTCTCATTTTTAAGGATGATTTTTTTACTGTTTTAGTGACACGTGTCTTTAAATTTACTACAGGTGAGAGCTATAGGTGCAATGGGATATGTTGTGATGTATTCTTTTCTAATCAGGGAAAACATTCTTGCTTTGGTAAATTTATATTCTTCGATCTTCATATCTTAAATTACTTTAGTACCCCCCATATTCTGATAATCATTTTTTTTTTCTTGAAGATCACTATAAACATTCATGCTTCAGCTACATTTATCCTCACTTCATTAGGGTTCTTGACAATTCCATCAATGAATTTAATATACGCGATTTTTGGGACCTTGGTTTGTCTTTTTTACCCTCTCAATTATCTATTAATTCAATATAATAAAGATTTGATTTTTTTTACACTATATGATTTTTGTGTTTTTTGCAGCTATTACTGAATTGCTGTTTCTTTGTGTTCTTGCTACATCTTCTATATGCTTTGTTCTTTACAAGGCTTGGAATGAAGGCTTCTTTGAGATTGCCAAAATGGTTTGCTAAAGCAATATGACAAGATTACCCTTACCCACCTTTTATCTTGTATTCCATCAACAACTAGTTCCTCAATCAATTTAGCTTTATTCTTTTTTTATTAAATTAACTCCCAACACTTTTACATGTGTTAAAGATTGATGATGAAAATCTCAAATTGAGAAAAGTTGAATTCATGTATATACATTCGGTTTTATAAATGTAGGAACATTACATAGAGTTGAAATTGTTTTTGGAAGCTTAGTTGTGTAATTTGTATCATTAATGTTGTATTATGTATAGAACTACAATAGAAATTAGTACCAAAATTGTTTAAAGAAATATATCACGATTACATTTTCACATGGTGAACTATATCAAATTTTCTTATAAATACCTAAATTGTTTAATGTACTTTTTGCTTGTCACATTTTAATTTGGTTTCGTTAAGGGAAAATTTTGAATGCATGATGTTAATGTCCTATAATCCATCTATAATGTAATATAGTTTCTTTATTTATATATGGAAGTTAGATAAATGCTCGAAAGCAATTAACATGTAAATATTGACCAAACATGTCACATGTGTATGCCTAATATTTTGGGCATATGTGTCACGAAAAAAAAAGTACATGATTTCTTGTTTGTAAAATCTCTAATTTATTACATTATAAAGAGAATTTACATTTACATATAGAGATATTCAAGGGTATGAAAATATTGTTAACATCAATGTTAAAAATGAAGGGGTTGTAATAGAATACCCATATTCATTCTAGGGTTTATCTAACTGTGGATTTATGTTGAAGTTATATGAAAATGGTGAAATGTCGTTGAGAGTGAAAAGTCAAAACAACATCGATGATCGATGTATAAAAGAGACCCAAAGTAGACGTGTCCACATTTGGAACCAGATTCTGTAGGCGAGAGGGTGTTAGCGACTCAAAGCTCTGCCACGACAATCAGTTCCCGCTCTTCAACTCTCCACCCACCCACCCACCGCCGGAAAGTTCTTTATAAACTCCTACTTTCATCACCTATTCCTTGCAGAATTCTTTGATTGAAGAGCTATAATGGGGATCAATGACAATGAGCGAAATGATAGTAATCCAATGGTGGTTATCAATAAGCTCAAGTTCACCTACCCAGGGATCGACGGCCATCCGCCTCCTGGTTCAGTTCCTCTCATTGAAGATTTCTCCCTCACTCTCAATCCCGGTGATCGTTGCCTTCTTGTCGGATCTAATGGCGCTGGTTCGTCCTCCTTCTGTCGTCCTTTTTTCAATTTCAATTCTATCCATATCGATCGTGAAATTTTTATTGAATTTTAAAACAAAAGGAAAAACGACGATACTGAAGATACTTGGAGGGAAGCATATGGTGGAGCCTGATATGGTTAGGGTTCTTGGCAGATCGGCGTTCCATGACACCTCTTTGACTTCTTCCGGTGACCTAGCTTATCTTGGTGGAGAGGTACATTACTTCTGCTTCTCTTTCACTTGGGATTTTAACAGTATTTTGGCTCAAAATTAATCAAATTCAGAAAAGCTTGATTGATCTAGATAAATGTCAAATTACTTACCTATCATTAGCCTGAAGAAGCACAAATTCTACGAATTTCCATCACTTGCAGTTAACAGTTACCACATAACTTGGATTTATAGGTGTGCATCAGTAGGAATGTAGACACATTTCATATATTGTTAGTGTTGATTGATTTAGCGTATTTACAATATGTTTTAGATCTTCTTTAGAATTAAAATGTATCTCGTTTATATTTATAATACACCATCAACTCTTTATATCCCTTAAATCCACATAGTTGTTTAGATCCATGAAATTAGCATACAACTCAAGATGACAAAATCACCCTTTAAGAAATTCATCAATAGTTAGGTTCAAAGAGTTGCAAATGACATCTTGATATTAACATATATAAAACTGTAATCAATCAAATTAAACTAATTGCATCAAGTATTGATTAGATCCCATAAAGAGAGAAAGGAACTTATTCTAAAAAATAGTCATTTAAATAAACAGTGGAGAAGGGAAGTTGCTTTTGCTGGGTTTGATGTTGCAATACAAATGGATATTTCTGCTGAGAAAATGCTATTTGGAGTATCAGGGGTTGATCCTCAAAGAAGAGCTGAACTAATCAAGGTACTTCAAACATTTTTGCATTATTTTCTTTAAATTGATCTCTTTTTCTATTCTTTTTGCAGTTGTTTTCCAATTTACTTTATCCATTTGAACTTTTTTCCAAACTTTAAAAAGAACCCATCTCTAGATTGATATTTTCAAAAACTCCATCTTAATTCTATGCATTTTTCTCTTTAAACCCAAGGAAATGTACTGAATATTTCAGGTTTTAGATATTGATCTTTCATGGAGGATGCACAAGGTTTCTGATGGTCAAAGAAGAAGAGTACAAATATGCATGGGCCTTCTAAAAGAATTTAAGGTATTAAATTAACACAGTCTCAGTCACAGTCACAGTCACACATCAAATGGAGTACAACATGTTATGTCATGTCATGTCATGCTTTCCTTTCATCATTACATAAAAAGAAGATGACATTGGTTTCTTTTCTTTTTTTGATATTTGTGTTTGGTTGATGAATGTTGTTTAATGAACACATTTGACATTTGTATAGGTTCTTCTCCTTGATGAAATTACAGTTGACCTAGATGTTCTTGCAAGGGCTGACCTTTTGACTTTCCTAAAAAAGGAATGTGAAGAGCGTGGTGCTACTATCATATATGCTACACATATATTTGATGGACTCGAGAATTGGCCTTCACACATTGTAAGCTTTCAAATACAATCAAACAAATCATAATATTATTCATCAATCTTAATCTTAACGTGAGAGGAGTTGAAGGGCAAATAGGTAAATACATTAAGCCAGGGTTTTTGGATTAAATACTTAACCCAATAACCTCATTAAATGATTGTGTTTGTATTAGGTTTATGTTGCACATGGGAAGCTACAATTAGCATTGCCTATGGAAGAGGTCAAAAAGATGAGCAATTTGTCTCTAATGGTCAGTTTCTCTATCTTCACATGCACTCCACCAATTTCTTTCTAATGTTTGACTTTTGGTCAAACAGTCTCATTTTGAACTTAAAAGTAGATGCAAGTTACTTTCAGTAGACAGTTAACAGCTGACAGTTGACAGTAAATTGTTTTATTGTTTGTTGTAGAGAACGGTAGAAAAATGGCTGAGGAAGGAGCGAGATGAGGAGAGGAAGAGAAGGAAAGAGAGAAAAGCAAATGGACTGCCAGAATTCGATAGGCGTGTTGATGGGACCCGCGTGGTGAACAATGGATGGGCTGCTGGAAGGCTCAATTCCACTGTTGCTGGTCAAGAAAACTTTGTGTATAGTTCAAACAGGGTTATGAGACAATAAACAAAAACTAAAACCCAATCGATTGAATCTATTAACATAATTCTTTCTTTAGATGCTAAATTGAGTATATGATGCGTCAAAGGGTATATTTGTTAAGTTCCTTGTGTAAAATGTAACAATCATATGTGTGTGAGTAAATTGTATTCAAAGTAATGGATTACAATATTTTGATTCAATAAAAAGAATATAGGCGTTACTATTAAGTTTTAATTAGCATTTTTTTTATAGTGTCCATGAATAGTGTTGCTTGTTGTCTTGAATGTTCATGATCTAAGATTAATTTGAAGTTGGATCGACATTCATGGGATGCATATCAACTATAATAATCCTCCTTAATAAATGAACATTTATTTTGCCACATGTCAATCTCTTATGAGTTTTGATATTTGTCGTTTTATGATATTTTTTAAATAAATAATATCCACATGTTAATTCTTAGGTTTTTCAAATTTTAAAATTAAAAAGCCACATAATATTTATATATGTAAAGTACTAAATGTCATAAATATGCTATTAAATTGTAATTAATACATTTCTTTATTTTTTATTTCAAATTTCAAAATCTTATTTTGCCTAGAATATCTTCAAACTTACATCAAGAACATCTTCATATCTTCAAACATATCAGAGAACATTCAAGCTTACCTCGGAAAACTTTATTCACAAATAATTCTTAGGAATTATTTGGTAAGTTTCCTAAATTTAACTAGTGTTTTTACTATGTATTCTTGATATATAACTAATTTACACACAATATCGTGTGTTAAATACTATTAGGATACGGCTATATACGCGTGTTTAACCTGAGGATTTTAGTTATACTGAACTAAGTATATCAAACCTTATAAGATATACAACTATAAATACAATGAGGCTAAAAAAACTCTGACTAAAAGTATACTTTTAAAGTATAAGTATTTTATAAGAAGTATACATACATCTATACATACCAGAAACGGTATCATAGTAAGAACCACATAAAAGTATGTAGATAAGTTGGACATTGCGGTTAACCCTAAGTAGTTATGTAATTGTATCTGGAATAAATATAATCTGATCAACTATATTTATTTGAGATACGACCAACATGTGTTTGGGAATAGTCGTGGTGAACAACAAGTCTAAAACTTACCAACACTATATACCAAGAGACTCTAGAACAGAACATAAAGTTAAAATACTATAGGAGTAATTTATGACACTATGGAACTATACAACTAGACCCTTTATGTGTCTTTTTACTGCTATTCTTGCGCAGTCAACATAACTACATAGTCAAGACACTCTATTTTGATAATGCTCAATTCATAGCGATTATCAAAGACTTATCATTATTCCACTCTTAAACCTTGTGGCAAAAAGATGTCACCACTCACCACACAAATCTATCAGGCGTGTTAACAACACACCACCGGCTCCGCTACGCCACCACCTCAGCATATGGATACTGCTATTTACACTGGCCAATGAAGCCCCTATGTCACACCCCCGACTGTTGGCGGAAACGTCGATGTGCACGACGTAAATCAGTAATCACAATTATGGACCATACATTGAACAGTACAAATATAATCTTCTATTATTACCGAAATAGAAATTACATTGACAATGACTATTGCTAAATCACAACATACGCCTAAAAATTCGACGTTTACAAAGGTATAATAAAAATAACGGAGAGTCTTATAAGAGAACACTTCCAACCTACGAAATAACCTGAGAATATATGCATTAAGATACATCAACAAAATTGTTGGTGAGTTCTACTGGTTTTGACACGAAGTATTTTTATAAACGAAAGTGTTTTATAAAA